GCCGTTGGAGCGTCAGAGGAACTGCCTTCCACGTACGCTAAGGACGTAGCTCCAGAGGAACTGCCTTCCACGTCCGCTAAGGACGCAGCTCCAGAGGAACCGCCTTCCACTTCTTTCGATAATGAAGAAGTACCAGACATCCAGTCTGACCATTTTAAAGACTTTGCTTCTCAATTTGTTACTCCACCTCGCCCACTTTCTTATAAGCGCAAACGCAAACGCAAATCAAGTGCAAATCAACGGTTTCCTGGAACGAGAGAGTTAAGCATGGTTGGAAAGCACGATGTCCTACGATATACAATCCCTGGTGGGAAATACTGCTATGTATTCCTATTCAAAAGATCAAATCATAACCACGACGTGTATCGATGTCGAGATTGCAAGAGGAAGGGAGCTCTTGTCACCGTGAAGGTAAAAGTCTTAACCTCTTCAAATAATTTCTTATAACTCCAAATTTTTTGCAAGCACCTGGTTCTTTGTAATGGGTGTATAAAAGTCCATGTTGTTGCTTCGTGAGAATTGAATACTATCGAAGGAAACGTTATCAATTTTATTCTGTATCTATCATTGTACATTTTCCTTTCTAGGTTATTTGAAATGGGGATATTTTCAGGTAGTTGGTGATGATTTCTTGTCTGATCCTTGCGATGAACCGCATATATGTCTTCCAACGGATTCCTTGAGAGACAAAGTGGAACGATTGGTGTACAAGGCATGTTTGTTACGACATATGTGCTTCATTGGCTTTCATATATAGTTGTAGTCAAAAGTGTTCGCCTAAACATTCTTTTTTCGGTGCTAACTAGTTTCGGGGGCACGCGGCGGCGCGGCAGTCTGCTCGCCTGGCATGTTCGGAAATCCGTGGGCCAGGGGGAGTGTAGGCAGTCTAGGGGGGTGGGGGGGGGCAGTCACTTGACATGCGTGAAAAGCTGGAATGTTCGAGTTTACACTGTCTCGCTCGAGAGAGCCCAGGTGAGCAGACTGCCGCGCCGCCGCGTGCCCCCCCCAACTAAGTTAGCACCGGCTTTCTCCTTAGAACAGTGGCCTTCAAACATTGATAAACATGCCCTTTCAAAACTCGGAGTCTTCACTCTGAGATTAGATATGTGAAGAAAGGCTCTAAACTAACATTCAGAGCTTTATCTGAAAGGAAGAAATGGGCAAGAAGCGTTTAGGCGAACACTTCTGACCGCTACTGTCAAACCAAAGAGTTTGTGGCATAAGCTTTTTTATGAGCTTTTTATATGCTGAAAATGACAAAAGAAATGCTGTCCCAATGGAATGAGCGGATTTGAAACGTCGCGTCGTCCCCTTACGGATTTCGAAGGCTATTTTCACTAGGTGACTTCAATTGGTGGTTTAGCCCCATGGAGGCAACTGCAGCAGATTCGCGATATGTTCACCGAAACCGAGATTATATAGAACCTCCTGACCTTCGATGATTAAAACATGTAGATCCGGAAGAGGGCCAAAAGGACTGATTATGCGTCTTCAGGCTACAGCAATAGACGAATCACAATAGCGAGGTATGATATGATTTGAAACGCGCATGTCTTCGACACGTAGTTTTTTTTTTCGAGGATCGGTCTTAATATTTCATATGAAATTATGTTTTTTTATAACAACTAATTGCAATGTTGTGAATATCCTTGCTAGGAACCTCAAACGTCTTAGGATGATGCATAAGGAGGCTCTCGCGGAAGCAACGGATGACGCTAAAGATTTTCCCTCAGAACATTCAAGCTTCTAGATATTTTTTATTTTTTTTTTGCTTTCTCCCTCGTCCGAATAAAGAAGTTTTTTTTTGTATTTTGGTGTGCTCAAAAGTGATTGGCTTTGTTCAGTAACTTTTCCACGAATCAAAACCCCCTGAACAAGATAGTACCGACGGTTCCATGATTTTATCATCATCCTCATACCTGGAAGAGCTCGTGAAGAAAGAGATTAACGACTGTCGTAAGGAATAGCCTCTATCCTCCCTTTTTCGAGTCTTTCGAAGTGAGTGGGTTCCACATGAGACCAAGTATTTATTGTTCAGTCTTGTTTTTTCTTTGAGATTACAAGTGCTATCATATGAAGTATTTTTGCCTCGAATATTTCTCTTCTATTCTTCATTTTTAGATGCTTAGCCAGTGTAAATTGTTATCACTAACTGACCACTCATTTCTCCGACTTTTCCTATTTACAATTTGCCTCAATTGTTCTGCTTTATCAGCCAGTTTACTTAGGCCCAGTCGTTTTCTGTCATTTATTTTGTTTTGAAACTCATTCCTCCTATTTCTAGCACCCGCAGTTTTTGATTGGAGCCATCGTTTCATCATGTAGAGCCATCTGTAGGAAATTTTCCAGTTTTTCATTGCCGTTTTACACATTTTTAGGCTAGGTAGAAAATTCCTCTTCTCATATTCGCTCATGATCATGTTGATGATAGTTCTTCTCCTTTATAGCTTTACGCCGCTCACTCGAGCTACTTCTTGTTAGTTTCATAAATTGTCTTCGAAGGCTTTTAATGACACTCAATGTATTGCTGGGTCAAATGGTAGCTCACTATTTCCCGGTGATTCCAGGGAATTTTTGCAGTGTCTCTTCAAAATATTTCCGTTCAATTGAAACAGTACGCAGATGTATTATAAACTAGTTTTGATTCGTATCGGGACAGTCGCGGGTACGACCTCTCTGTAGTATGATTTCCTCACTGTTCGTGAAGCGTAGCTGGTCCTACATTGTGCTAGGTGTAGATAAAATCTTCTCAATAAATAGTACGTATTTATTATTTATAAATCACAAAATACATCCATTAATGCATTCAGAAGTCATCCACTGTCATCAGTTTACAGTGATTATTTAGAATAACTACGAAAGACAAAGGAGTTCTAGTAAAAGAATTCAAATGAACAGCTGTCTCAATCGCATATCAGTCTATGTACCAGTCGCCTGATTGTAGTCTTCGACAAACTTCTTATATTTCGCCTTGTTCTCATCCGTGAGAATAGCTTCGTACCTGAAAACTTCAATTGTTTTACCATATAGGGTAAAAAAGCATTTGATGGTAGTTAATCTCCTTTGGGGTGCACCCGGAGTTAACCGTTCGCTGTTGCCAATTGCCAAAAAAATTTACGACCGCCCATCACCACCTCAGAGCCTTACCCTTAGGATCCCTGAAAATACGACCCTCTTTCGCCCCATGCTCCGATTGCACCTTCCACAATGATGCCATGTAGCAGTGTTTGATTCTGAGAAGCAGTCGGTACTGCCCACACGCCATTTGTTTCCCTCCAAAACGACCGTAAAGCGAGCGAAGGGGTGAGGGGGGGGGGAGTTAATAGGTAATATATCTTTAATAAATTTCCTTCACTATATCTGATGAATTTCCTCCAATTTCGACCACCTCATGCTTACTTTTTCGAATATTCACAAGATTATCAAGAAACCCAAAAACCCCTCCCCCACCCACCGTCACGATCGCCGTTTTCCATGCCGCTCCTAAAGGCGGGCCTTTCTCCGACCTATTGACTTTTACCAAGTCCCTAATTCGACTCTCCCTTCGACAAACTTTAGTAAGAGCCCTGTTGACAACGTACGTCAATATGGGCGCAACCATCGCACTTTAGCTTCCATTCAGGAGTCGTAGTGGCGATTGAATACGATTGAGACCAACACATTATTTTGGAATATCGAAGCTATCTGGGAACTCATTCCAGTTTTCGACGAGAAAACGTTGTAAACTTTCAGTTGCGTTCTCACAACGGCTGTGGTTGAGTTCACTAGAATTAAAAAAACATGGAGGTGAGAAAGACTCGCCTATTTCCTAGTGGCTTGCTCAGAAAACTAGCACGAACATACGGTGAATGTATAAGTAATTGCGTGAAAACTAGTCGCTCACCAATCGTCTCGTTTATTGAAAACAAAATGGCGTAACATATTTTCAATGGACCCATTTACTGCATTTAAGGGGCACCAGTGAGGTGAGAAGTATTGGGTTGAAGGTTCCAAGTTGGTCACTATATCGTCGTCTAAGTCGACGATCTTAATCCCTAATCGTCTCCTCCTGTCTAAGTCGACGATCTCTAAGTTAGTCACGCCCCTAAACCAACAAGGGGTCAAGCAGGCTCAGAGTTGGCACTCACCCTCCTTACACCGGTAACAAGACGTTGGTTTATTATTGCTCTGTAATTGCAATAAATATTATAACTTGACTATTGCATTGTTCTCAGTTGAGAAATCGGTCCGGATCCGGCACCATCACTCAGAAATTGGGTCATAAACAAGCAATCCACTGAACCACCCAACATTTTTGGTGCGAAAAGCCCATACATCAATATAAGTGGCACATCACTTATCTCAATCTGGATGGCACAGAAGTGGATCAGCCCCCCGCTTTGACGGCAGGCGCGTCAGCCCTCTCCCGCCGTCCGGTCTACAGTAAGGCTGGTTGTTCCTCTACTTTGCATGGAGAGTCATGTTCTTAAGCGCTGGAGTTGGAAGCACGAACTTCCCTTGTTTGGTAGACTGAATGAAAAGAAAGATTTAAGGAAGATAAAAATGTAATTCAACATCTTCTAATTTTTCCTTGCCAAAATATTTAGTGAGTGTTATACTTCTCTGCAACATTTTTTGCGACCCTACTCTGAATCGCCCCCTCGAAAGATCGTAGTCGCGAGACGCGGGAGGGGGGGGGAGGGAGGAGGGTCGGAAAACGAAATTTGGCGTGAACTTGTGATTTTAAAATTTGAACTATGCCACTTAATGGCTCTTTGGGGGGGGGGGAAGAGGGCATCCAAAAAAAAAAAGGGCATCCAAAAACCGCTGGTAGGTAACACTAACGCTGTGCCGAATAGAGGGGAGGAACGCCAGGGAGAACAAAAATTGCTAACATGCCCTTCCCTAAAGCTCGGTCTCAAGTACTGTAAGTGGCTCAATCACTTGAATGTCCTCTCCCTCCCAACTTCTCAACCACATAAGCTCCTGAAATATAATCTCGCTTAGATGGTGAAAAACTAATAAGTAGCTTGGTCTCGTGAAAAAGGACAGAGTAAACGTTGCGAATCCAGATTGAAGGTGACCGTTCTTGATTGTTACGGGGGTGGGGCGTATTGGAGAATTAAGTTTGTGAGGATTTGTTACGAATTTTAGGGGTTGCTAAGAATTTTCTGGTAATTTTATTCCATTCTTGTAGGAATTTTACGTTTACTTCTAACTCTCATTTCCACCCCATTCCACCCCCAGCTCGACAGGATTCACAAGATCAGAAAGAGGACCTTGAGAGATGGGAGGGGAGGTATATTATAGGATCGTGTAAGGGGGCTTCTCGCGATATCATGCTTGGCCCTTTCTTATGAAGGGTTTCATGAGAAAACGGCTAAAATATACCAAGTCGTTCTGAATTGTGTATGCTCGTTGGTTACGCAGTTCTTTCAGAAGGTCATTCATTGCAGCACATTCATGTCCCGCTTGCATCCTCTCTGAAATAGTTCCGCTGTTGGTTTGCGAGCTTCAATCTAGCCTTGTTAATTTATAACGGAAACTTTTTGGGCGCTATCGCAAGAAACGGGGGCATTCCTTAGGACAGACCTAGGATGGGGCGAGGAACTCCAGGGAAATGAAATTGCTTTGCACATTAGTCTCACCACCACAGTCCAAGGTTTAGCACCATTTTCCAAGAAAACGAGATCTTTCACGCAGTTGTGAGTGCACAACCACCACAATGCCCCCGTATCCTGCGATAGCGCCCCGTTTTGTTTTTCTCAATAACTATCGTACCGAGAATATACTCGATAGCGACAATTGTGCCTGTCCTTCCAATTCCGGCTGAGCAGTGCACCACTATGGGCTTGCTGGTACCTCGAACCCTTGACAAAAGCTCCTGAAATTTTCGTTTGTAAGAACAGAATTCTTCCGTAGAGTTGAGGCAATGACTGCTATGGCGCGGGCACGCTTCGACCGCCGAGCTTCCATCCAGGCCGACCGAGTCTTCTACTCTGTCGGTTCCATTAAAGGCACCATGACGTCAGTGAAGTGAAATCTTGGCGCGAGAAAGGTAGATGGATCAGCAAGCACACGTGTCGTACCCCCTCGCGGCACGAATTTGCCAGGCCAAGGCGCTAACAGGGAAGGTCTTTCAGGACATGGAGCGCTTTTTCGAAATGGTTTTCTGCATGTTGTAGGGGCTCATGCGAGGAACACAGAACCATGATCCATTTTTCCTGAACGCCTCCAGGAATGTCAAAACAGTGGTGAAGAAATGGTCCAGAGTTCGATCCCGGTGATGACTAATTTTTGCAATATAGTTTGGCGCCCCCAGATTGCCGCCAAATGGCGCCATCGTCGAGAATAGATGTCATTGTCGTGTTTTGCGGCAATTTGGAGGCGCCAACATAAATTGCAAAAATTTGTCATCACGGGGGACCATTTCTTCCCCGCTGTTTTGACATTCCTAGAAGCGTTCAGGAAAAATAGACCATGGTTTTGTGTTCGTTTGTTTTTGTTCATGTCGAAGCACTCCATGTCCTGAAAGATCTACCTCGCAAGGCATTATGTTTCAGTTCAGGGGTTCAGGGATACAGTGTGAGAAAGCAAGTGGTCTCAACGAGCTGAACTGTTGAGTCGTACCATGCTGGTGAGCTTGAGCGGTGGAACGCCTCTGTCCGGCCAATCCATCCACTGATAATGTCGAACTTCTCTTGCATCCATTGATCCATCAGGTTTTGCGAATTTCACGTTCAGAATGCATACCATTACTGTCAACTCTTCAGGTGAAAGTACTCTTGTCTGAAAAGGACTAATCGGTTTACTGCAAAAGTGCAAGGACCGGAATGACTACTGGGCTCCACATAACTTGAAGAGTAACCCAATATGGAACTAGTAATACATTTTTTGACTAGCGT